AATAACGATCTATATCAATTAATAACGATCTATGTCCCTTAATAACGATCTATGTCTATTAATAACAACCTATGTCTATTAATAACGATCTATGTCTATTAATAACGATCTATATATATTAATAACGATCTATATCTATCTGTAACCAATATGAACATTATCGGAAGAACATTAAAGTAAAGGTCTGCTATATTACAAGCAAAAACCTTCTACGATATGGATCTAGAATTAACCGTATTAAAAGTTTTTTTTTTACACAATTTATATTTTTTATTTATCTCTTTATCTTTGCAATCTGGTGATAGAAAACTTTAATGTATCAACATATTTACTCTCACAGAAATATCGAAGATCTCAAAATACACATAAGACATACATAAACTAATTAGATTCCTCTTTAATATCTTTTTGTGCAAAGGATAAGTTTCGAACTTTATTTTAGGGATCAATTATTTAACCTCAAACTTTAAAGTGTCCACTTTGGATATCGAGATCAACCGTTCAAGATTACTTCAGGATGCAACGATATGAGGATGTTTAACTACAGTTTCGATACATCTGTCTAAAAGGTGACAATCAGATTAACTCATTCCTGGCATTCAAAAGTTCCAAGCTCGGATTTTCCTCCTTATAACCATTCCTTTCAAGTTTCAACCCGTTGAGAAATAGAGAGATAAACTGGCTGTATTGGGTATAGTCAATATAATGAACTTATGCATATAGTTACTTTGAATCTAATTAGACTTAATCATATTCTTCAATCTTACAATTAACTTATATTACACATTTATAGATGTCTCACGCACTTCTGACCCTTCAGTAAAAGTAAATTCAACCTATTGAGTGTCTGCTTTTTTCACCCAATTTTCGGGCGATACAGTACCAACTGGGACCGGAAAAAGTTGACCTGGCTCGGAAATTCAAATGTACTCGCGGCTGCCCCTGGTCTACTTATATTTCTCAAGTATGATTTGTTATGTTGTTATCAATTAAAACGTCATTTCTCTTTGCGATGCTTGATTGAACTTTTTATTGCATGTAATTCAATTTGATTATCATGTCCAATAACATGAATCAAGCAAAATTACTGTCCGATTATTTAAAGCTTGGTTCATAATCTTTTCATTTAAATTCTACAATACAAAGAAAGATATAGAAAGTTATAGTAAAAGAACAACCTCACGTTAAATTGGCATGAAAATTTCTTTCAAATAATAGAACATTGTTATAATAATATTCATAATTTACGAAAAGGAAAGTATATAATTAAAATAATCTAAAAGATAAGTGGATTATCTAGGACCTGCCCTAAGTGTAAATATTTGAATTGTCCGGATGGGCTAAATAGAAAAATAGTAAAAAAGGGCTGGCTAGGGAAATATGGTATAAATTTTTTCCAAATACATAGAATTGTATTTTATTTTAACTAGCTTGAGAACCTGGCCAGGATGGGCTAAAAAGAAAAATAATGAAAAAAAAAGGCTGGCTAGGGAAAGGAATTGAGTCTTTTGAACAAAATCAAATATTTAAACCTCAATATCTTTAGAACCCGAGATTTTAAACCTTTGATATTTCAAATTATTTCAGATTATTTGATTTAACAAAATTCATAGTTTGAAATATCTAAGGTCTGCAACATTTGGTTCCAAAGATAAAGTGATTATAAAATCAGAGTTTGTGGCAAAAATTCAATTCCTTTGCTTTTATTTTTTTTCCAGAATTCAAAAAAATAATTGTATTATATTTTAACAAGCTTGGGCACCCTGCTTTGCATGGCCAGGATGGGCTAAATAGAAAAAAAAAATAAAAAAAGGCTGGCTAGGGAAATATGGTATTATTTTTTTCTCCAGATACATAGAATTGTATAATAATTTTACTAGCTTGAGAACCAGGCCAGGATGGGCTAAATAGAAAAATAATGAAAAAAAGGCTTGCTAGGGAAATTTGCTTTTATTTTTTTCCCGAATTCATAAAAATAATTGTATTATATTTTAACTAGCTTGGGAACCCAGCTTTGCCTGGCCAGGATGGGCTAAATAGAAAAAAAAATAAAAAAGGGCTGGCTAGGGAAATGTGCTATTATTTTTTTCCGAATACATAAAGAAATGGTATTATATTTTAACTAGCTTGGGAACCCAACTTTGTCTGGTCTGGATGGTCTGACTAGAAATAATTAAGAAAAGGGGGCTAGGGAAATATGGTGTACTTATTTTTTTTCGAATATCTTCATAAAAAGAATTGTATTATATTTAAAATGTTATCCCCCCCCCTCCGACTGTTGTTGTATAAGTGACGTGGGGGGGGGGGGGAAGATTTGTATTCCTAGGGAACATTTTATGTTAATTTTGTCAGGTTAATGTTTTAATTTTCAGGGAAACCAATTCAGTTAAACATTAAATAGTCTCGCGTCAATATATCATTATAAAAATACTTTATTTTTTATCTATATATATATAGTTTCCTTGCTTGAACTCTCTTTGAATCCCAAAAAAATGTCAAAATGGATGAACTGATTGTACACAACTTGGTGGACGAGAATTCGCACGAATTCAGGCAAAAAATTTAAAATGATCACTTCGAATTTGATTAGTTAATTGAAGCAAGAAAAAGTATTTTGGGTTTTATTCTCATCTCTATGTTGCCGTTGTCAGACATTCTTTGAACTGAGTTCTAATAAAATTAAACATTTGTCTAAAAATCTAAATTTCAAATTCTTAGGATGACAAAGTCCTAAGATTAGTCACACTATTAAATGTTTTTAAATGAATACAAAGCAAAAAAGGTTCTTTGATTGGACAAAACTAAGGTAAAAAGCAAAAATAGAAAATTCAGTTTCTAAATCCTCCTTGAAAGATTTAGCACTAGCATGGGATAATATAATTCCAGCTTCGAATCCACAATAATATGAATATTCTAGTGGTGTATGGAGCTTTTAAAGAAATTCTATATTTAAATCTAAACTGTGACAAGAAAAGGAAAAAATATTTCGAACTTTGTTTTAGCTTTATCTTCATTCAACTTTATTGGAATAAGATTTGTAAACCTTGTTCATTTTACGAGAATCAATTATTTTACTATCCTTTACTCCATACATATTTTACCATTTAATTTTGTCGATTTATCTAATCTTTAATCTATACCTATTTAGCTTGCTGATTTAGCCATTTTCTTTGGTACCTTCAATTAAAAAAAACATCCTGATATTTAAAAAACTTTGTTTCATTCTTTTGAAGTAAATTGTTTCGCAAAAAACTGTATTTTAACACAATTTAGAGTTACATTTAAATCATATATTCAGAACCGGCCACACATATGTTTAAACCTGAATTAAACGACTCAAGCATCCATATCGATACTTAAAAGGACTCCATGTTAAGTAAATCAAATCACGGTGAGAGTCTCTTAACAACGGTCAGCAAGGTCCTTTCAGAAACGGATAAACGCACACTGTAAACTTTTATTCTCCAAGTTTTTATTTTGACCAGTTTCATATTTTATTATTAATTTTCTTTTCCCCCAGTTGTTTACTTGGCTAAAGATTATGATTTCTTCTTATATTTTATTCATCAAAATGTGAAAAACATCTTAACTTCCTCCCTTTTGATTTATTATTCGAGAGAGCAATTGCATTTCTGTATTTTATTTCTAACGGATTAGAAAATTTGAGTTTGTGACAATGACTTAATTCTGTTATTTATACATAAAATATAAATATTAAAAATATAGAAATACCAAATACCAAAATAAAATAGCTTAAGAAACCCATGTTTGAAATGTACAAGCATACATTTTTTGTTTTCTGGGGTAAATGAATACAAAAGGAAAAAAAGAAACTTTATTTAAAATTATGCTGGTTCGAACAAAGGATTCGGGACCGAGCACTTCCTCACATAATGGACGATTCAGAAGAATAGAGAGTTGTGAAAGGTGGTATAAAAACAATTATTCAAATACTTCACAGCAAATTAATAGCTGGCAGAAATCTGAGACTTTATTAAAACATAAATTAAATCGAAGATGTTTAAGAAATGGATGTATCTTGGGGCGCTGAAATATAGGGAAGAAAGACAGAAGAAAGAAGTAATCGAGGCTAGTACTACAGATTACAGGGTAGCAGAGTACTAAACCAGTACTATACAGACTACAGGGTAGCAGAGTACTAAACTAGTACTACAGACTACAGGGTAGCAGGGTACTAAACTAGTACTGCAGACTACAGGGTAGCAAAGTACTAAACCAGTTCTATACAGACTACAGGGTAGCAGAGTACTAAACTAGTACTACAGACTACAGGGTAGCAGGGTACTAAACTAGTACTACAGACTACAGGGTAGCAGAGTACTGAACCAGTACTACAGACTACAGAAGAGCAAAGTATACTAAACCATTACAACAGATTTTAGGGTAGCAGTGTACTAAACTAGTACTGCAGACTACAGTGTAGCAAAGTTCTAAACCAGTACTATACAGACTACAGGGTAGCAGTGTACTAAACCATTATTACAGATTACAGGGTAGCAGAGGACTAAACCAGTACTACAGACTACAGAAGAGCATAGTAATAAACTAGTACAACAGATTACAGAGTAGCAGTCACACACCTCTGACCTTCAGTAAAAGTAAATTCAACCTAAAATCTGACCGCGTCAACCTTGTTGCACCGGCTAGTCCAATTGAGTGTCTACTTCATTTACCCAATGCTGTCAACTTATTGCTAGCTTTTATTTTGTATTACATAATTGGTTAATGTTTTGTAACCTTAACCTTATATATCCGTTATTTAATCAATTGTACAAAATGTGATACAAAGAAAATCTAAAAATTTGGAAATTTCGAAGGTGCATTCGCAAAACTTTTAACAATAAAAAGGCTTCAAAAACTAAAAATAACATTTGCAATCTACTTGGTTTTATAGAATGTAGATAAATGTATTTTAAACATATTTCTAAAAATCCCTTAAAATTAAGAGGGTTTTCTGGTTACGATGGGCAAAACCTTACCGCTCTATAGGTTCTCTTTTGTCCGCAGTGTTTCCCAGCTCTCCCTCGTAACTACAGAAATATACATTTTATTCACAGATTACAGAATATATTTAGAGAAAAAATAAGAGGTTTCCTTTGCATTTTATTTTTCAGTCTCTTTGAGCCGGATACATTTCATGTTTATGTTTATAAAGAATACGCCATAAATTACGAAAATACAGTATATTCATTGTTCAAAGAGCCCAAAACTTAAGGCAGGGTATCGTTATAAAAAGCAGTTTTGATTTAAAGAAATTGAAAAAAATGGAGAGTATGAAGAAATAAAATAAAATAATATTTCATCACAAAATATTGATATTCACAAAACTAACTAACCCATTCATAAAACCCGGGTTCCAAAACTGGTTTTCATAACGATACCTTGTATTAAGTTTTGAGCTCTGGTCAATTTGTTTCAAAATATTCTTTTCAGAAGTTGTTGAATAAACTTTAAAAGGTGTTGGTGAATTTAAATCATCACTGGATTTGAAAATAAAATTTGTATTTATCATGTACCAAAACATTTAAGAGAAAAACAAATCATTTTTTAGATGACAGTTCCAGGGCCCAAAAGGTTATAGACTAGAGTTGTACGCCTACAATACCGTGACAGTACAACAAAACCGATGTTCTGTAATGCTTAATTTGAATACATTTGTGACAAAATTACAAAAAAATATTATCTCTGTTAAAGATTAATTTGTCTACTTCTAAATTTACTACTGTGTTCTCACAATATACAGTTTACAGCGCAGTGGAAAAACTAATGGAAATTGTTTTAGATGGACTGGAGGGCAGAGTTTTCTAGTTTACTAGTTTACGTTCTCAATAAATAGGATCTAATTCTTCACCTGGATACAGGGATACAGGGATACAGGGGTACAGGGATACAGGGATACAGGGATTCAGGGGTACAGGGTTACAGGGTTACAGGGTTACAGGGATACAGGGATACAGGGATACAGGGATACAGGGATACAGGGGTACAGGGATATAGGGATACAAGGATACAGGGATACAGGGATACAGGGAAAAGGGATACAGGGATACAGGGATACAGGGATACAGGGATGCAAGGAGATACAAAAATACAGGGATACTGGGATACAATGATACAGGAATACAAGGATACAAGGCTCCATGGGTATATGATACACGGATACACGAATAAAGTGATTCAGGGATAACCATATTTTTTTAATTTTCGTGAACACCCCCTTTAATAAGAATATTTGCACCTGTGTATCTGCTGAGGATTCAACATGTACTGAGTAAATAATATCAAAGAACTGTTCCACCACGGCAACCTTCTTGTAAACGAAATGCACGTTTCCATCCAACGTCTAAAACAACAATACAAATTTTTAATTGCCATTCACAAATAACCCTTGACCCTCCATGGAAAGGTGGCAATGCCCGATTTACTATGGTACCCTTAAATGCCTTGTCTAATCAAGTAAAATGAATTAGATATACACGTTTTTGTTTCTTAAAACTGATTATTTTCATTTGCGGTTTCTCTGCGAATGTAGCTTGCGCATTGCTTGCTTATGAAAAGTAATAGAGAAATTATCAGAAATAAACACTTTCAAGTAAGAAAAACGACGTTATCTTTCAGTTTTTTGATCAGATTAAGGTTTTAGGGGTAACATTGTAAATCGGACATTGCTATTTTCGCATGAAGGGTCACTTGTAATTACACACAGTCCCATTAACACCAAATTCATAATTATGACGATGTTCTCTTTTACTGAGATATCTGAGCGAGCTTAAAGTTATTTGTAGCAAAAAAACCTATATCAATAATTAATTTTTCGTATATCATCACTTTCATGATTTTCATTTTATCATTTCTAACATGTATTAATATTTCGACACCCTTGTTCCGTCCGTACCATCTAGTGAGCAAAATATAATTTTAGAATTTTTGGAAACATTAACATGCAGCAAATATCTTACTCTAATAATTCTTTTAAGTCTTTATCAATCCATGGATACAACTCACTCTCGAACTGTATATTCTCCAGTAATACTTTAGTCCGTATCAATCCATATACAACTCTCTCTGTATTCTTAAGTATGTATCGTTTAGAGCTCGCTCTCGAACTCTATGTTCTCCAATAATACTTTAGTCTGTATCAATCCAGATACAACTCTCTCTGTATTCTTAAGTATGTATCATTCAGATACAACTCGCTCTCGAACTCTATATTCTCTACTCGAGAAATAATAAGTCTGAACGTAATAAAGCAAAGGTTAATATCCAGCTAATCTTTATTCTGGGTTTCTTAGTACATGTTTATAAAAAGTCTGTTCAGAAGTTAATGAACGTAGTTATAGGGTTCAGATAATGTTATAACGTATTATATAGGTATGTTCACTGTTCAGGTTTACAAAATATGGCATTTATTACTACATTTATTACAAACATATTATGAAGATGATTTCAGGGTTCAGCTTATACTGATTAATTTTTTAAACTCATGAATTGCTTCCTGCCAAGGTTTAAATAAAGAATTCCGAATTGATAAAATGGAGTGGTTTGCCAGTGTTTTGGGGAACTAGAAAGTAATCTAACTTGAGGAATGAATTGTAGGTTTTCTCTTGTGTCGTACACAAGATAAATATCTTACTTAAACCAGGCAGGAGCAACAGAAACATGGAGGGGATAAAATAAGACCACAGAGGGGGTATAATAATACCATAGAGAAGAGAACTATAGAGAGGGTATAAGAAAGCCATAAAGGGGGTATATATTAGAGCCATATAGGGTATATAATAGAACCATATGAAGGTTTATTGAACATTGCATAGAGCGGATATTATTTAACCATAAATGGGGTATATATTAGAACCATAGAGGGTATATAATAGAACCATATGAGGGTATATAGAACGTTGCATAGAGTAGATATAATTTAACCATAAAGGGGGTATATATTAGAACCATAGAGGGTATATAATAGAACCATAGAACATTGCACAGAGCAGATATAATTGAACCATAAAGGGATAATATCAATATATGTAGAGAGGATATAATAGAACCAAAGAGGGGGATAATACAGCTATAAAGGTTATATAATAGAACCATAGAGAGGATATAAAAAACCGTTGAGGGGATATAAAAGAACTATAAAGGGGATATAATAACCTTAGAGGGATAACAGCACCATTGAGGTGATGAAATAGCTACATATAGGGATAATTGAACCATTGAGGGGATGCAATAGCACATAGTGGGATAATAGAACCATTGAGGGGATGATAAAGCAACATAGAGGGATAATAGAACCATTGAGGGGATGAAAAAGCTACATAGAGGGATAATAGAACCATTGAGGGGATGAAAAAGCAACATAGAGGGATAGTAGAACCATTGAGGGGCTGAAATAGCAACAAAGAAGGATAATAGAACCATTGAGAGGATTAAATAGCAACATAGAGGGATAATAGAACCATTGAGGCGGTGAAATAGCAACATAGAGGGATACTATAACCATTGAGGGGGTGAAATAGCAACATAGAGGGATAACAGAACCATTGAGGGATCGATATAATAGAACCATAGAGGGTATATACATTATAAGAGTCTCATAGAGGGATAAAAACAAGACCCTTGGACAGTTTATACTATATATATAGGACATATAATATCTTGTATAGTCTACTATGTACAACATTAATCGGGTGTACAGTGTTCTATACACAACACTAATCCATTGTACAAGATTAGTCCCGGGACTTCCTAGAAACTTTCTCCCAACGGGATGCGGGATTTCTAGGATATTAAAGAAGAGAGAGAAAAAAGTCAATACTTTAGTTTATACCTTTATCCGTACCTGGGCCCCAGGATTGAGGAGGCTCTGCACACACACCCTCTCTTACTTCTATCTATCTATCTATCTATCTATCTATCTCCTCTCCGCCTCAAAAACCTCACCAAATTAAATTTGCAGAAGTTGTAAAGGGGTAAAGGATAAATATTCTATTACTCTGAGAGAAGTTCTCAGTTTCAAGTTAACTCCGGCCTCGAGAAACTAGAATTAAATTTGAATCATATATTTCAACTTCATTCTTTATTCTATAGATCTTCACTTAGTTAGATGGTTTACAGGTTCAAGATCAAAGAGAACCCTCACATAAATTGATTGATTGCATTCTATAAAGCTATTTAATAGATAATTTTACTGAAAACTGAATTATAATACCTATTCCCCCATTTACTCATTTTTATCTTTACCTCAACTGTACTGTACCCCCGTTATATTTAAATTTAAAATTTGTGTTTTTTTATAAAGCATTTAATGCATTTATCTTATAAAGGGGTCTCTTATTTAATAAATTATTCAGAATTTTTAGAAAGGTCCTAGGTCTAAAAAGTAAATCTATCTTTTTATCAAAAAATATCTCTTGGTTCATGGTTAAATGAGAAAAGGAGGGAAAAGCTTTCAGAATTTTTAGTAATCAAAAGATCGGTTATACGTAAAGAATTGATTGAACCCCTTTATATTTTTTTTGACTAGCTGCCCGGCGTTGCCCGTGAAATTTAATTAACCCTGTCCCGATTGGGTAACTTTTGTCAAATACAGATGTCCATAGTCCAACTTGTTATTTCATCCATTTTCAAAGGCTTTTTTTAAAATATATAAATTTTAGCCCTGTAACTTAATTCTTAAAAAAGTTATTAAACATTTCTGATTTTTTGGAAAGACAGACCCACCGTTTGACTGTCCCACACCCTAACAGCTATGCATAAAAAAAATGTAAGCAACATTTTTCACAACTATGAAGTTGAAAAGTGAATAAGTCTAATTTCCGCCGTGTTTNGGGGGGGGGGGGTGGGGGGACATTTCATTTAGATTAATTTTAAAAATATACATATTTTTTTAATTGTCAACCAAACACCAAAGCGTAAAAGCCTTATCCTTTGCATGCGAAAATTACCATTTTTCCATCTTGTTACAAAATTGTTCTCGATAGCGTTTCATCATATTGTAAAAGCCTTTAAAAATTCCCACCTATCCTCGGTACTAGTTTCGTAACATCATCTATCAACACCTATCCTCGGTACTAGTTTCGTAACATCATCTATCAACATTGGAAAGTTTTTAAACTTTTGAGTCAGAATTTTTGTTAAAGCAACATTTTTTTAAATGTAACATGATCGAGGAAGAAAATAAAAATATTTTAGTTTTCACTAGTTGGTCCGCAGATTTCACAGAAATGTCAGTCTATCTGTCCAGGACTCTTGACCGTATTTAAACATGTGTGGACACTTTTCTTTTTTAAATATTGTTGCCATTAAAGTATTCTTTTTAGTTTAAAGAACCAGGAGTATACAGATTTAAACAATAAAGCACACTATTGACTGTAGCTTTCATAATAATTTTGAATGAATTCGATCGAATGGTGAAACTATAAAAGTCCTTATAAACTGTACACTGTCCGTATACTGTACACTGTACACTGTACACTGCACACAGTACATTGTACACTGAACTGTAAACACTGTTCTCTGTTTATTGTACACTGTTCATTGTACACTGTACACTGTGCACTGTACACTGTACACTGTACACTGTACACTGTGCACTGTACACTGTACACTGTACACTTTACGTTGTACACTGTACACTGTACACCTAGATAAAATAAACAAGTTTATTTACTGATAAAAACATGAATACAATTCTCATTGCAATTTTCTACCAACAGCAAAAATATGCATCGACTACAACTTTGTGTCACAAAATATGCATCGGATACAACTTTGTGAAGAAAATATTTGTTTTTAAGTACTTTTTAGCTAGTTTTGAGTTATTTAAGTTATTGCTGTGTCCTTGTTTAGTTCATTTTTGTAATAAATCAGGGTAAATGAAAAAGTATCAGAATTCAGAAGTGAATAAAGCCAAATGAAGCAAGAGGAGTAACATGAATCCAGAATAAGAACCATTAGTAATGATTAGAACCTGGAGCAAAATGAAATCCGAATATGACGCATGATTAATGCAAGATAAATCCAGGGATATAGAGCAAGAGGGAACTAGAGCATGATTAATAATGCAAGATGAAACCAGGATGTAGAGCAAGACGAATCATGGATATGAAGCATGACAATGCAAGAAAACACTAAAGTCTGGATCAAAATAAATTGAGGATACGAATCATGATAAATGCAAGATGATACCAGGATTTGGAGCAAGACGGAACTAAAGCATGTGCAATAAATGATGAAACTAGTAGCTCAAGCGTTGAAGCATGATTATTGCAAGATGAAACCAGGAGTCTGGAACAGATCATATATGGATCACAAAACCAGAACCTGGAGCAAATTAAACCA